GGGCAAACTTTTTGACTCGCGGGCCACAATGGGTTCTAAAATTTGACAGAGGGGCCGGGCCAGGAGCATTTGGAGGGAGTGTTTGGGCCGGATATACTAAAGCATTAAATGTAGTGTGTGTAAACCTCATAGCACAGTAAGAACACTACAACCCAATTTATTGACTGTCTTTCAAATGTGAAAAATAGCCCTTATCAGTTAATAAATTTGTCTCAAGGAATATGCAAGATATGGCATTTACATACTATTTTGCAGATACTGGGAGGAGGAAATGTAAATAGATTAAAATAACATACGCACTGTGATTTATCAAGATTGCGTCTGTTTTTAATAAGTTTCAATCGAAGGTGCAAAGTTAAAGAAATCAATATTTATTGAAAAATGGAATCACTTTCAACATTCAAAACATATTATTACACAACGAAATACTCAAGCTCAATAATATCTACTTGTGTTAAACTCCGCAAAATCATGGATGGATTGTCCTGACTCTACAAACTCGCCACGGACGCCCTCGCCTTCACGCGCAAACAGTACACGTGTATCGTTGCCAAGCACACAGACATAGGCTGTATTAAATATACTACCTGCAGCTGAAAATGTAAATTAAGAGCGATGTGCGGCGTGTTAATTAAGCTACTGTACCGCTGCTGTGCGTAAATGCGCATTGCTCTTAATTAAAAGACGCACTTCCAAACTTTCCATATGCATTTTTTCATAACATAGCAGAAAAACTCACCATTCTGTTGACTCTGTAAATTAGCTGTCAACCTCTGAGCAGTAGCCGCCCGTTCTTGTGTTGACTGCTTGCTAGCATAGTTTGCATGCTTCGTGGCAAAGTGACGGCTGATATTGTACTCTTTGAAAACCGCAACAGCTTCTTGGCATATCAGACATACAGCCGTTGATCGGACTTCAGTGAAGAAGTATTTTGTTGTCCACTCCTGAAATAAAGAGAAATACGCGCCACTCCAACAACGGTCAATGTGTTTTGAGTGCGACATCTATTGGGGAAACGTGGGCATTGCAGGGAAAAAAAGAAGGTTTTTACTATAATTTGGACACGTTCGGCGGGCCGATTAAAAAGCCTAACGGGCCGTATGTGGCCCGCGGGCCGTAGTTTGCCCATGTCTGCTCTAACACCTCATTCTAACACCTCTGGAGCAAGAGTAGGTTTCTTAAGAAGAGGTTTAATTACAGCTACATTGAAGGACTGTGGTACATGTCCTGTCAACAAAGACAGATTCATAATATCTAATAAGGATGTGCTAACTAAAGGAAAAACTTCCTTAAGCAGCTTGGTCGGAATCGGATCCAAGAGACAAGTAGAAGATTTAGACTTTGAAAATAAAGAAGTCAGTTGATCAAGGTTGATGGAAGAGAAGGCATCCAAACAGGCATCAGGGCCTACTGCTGCATCCAAGGTTCCTACATCGGAGGACAGGTCGGCACTGGTTGAAGGCAGGAGACCATCAATTTTCTCTTTGATAGTCAGAATCTTATCATTGAAGAAGTTCATGAAGTCGTTACTAGTGAGGTCCAAAGGAATACACGGCTCAACAGAGCTGTGACTCTCTGTCAGTCTGGCTACAGTGCTGAAAAGAAACCTGGAGTTTTTATTTTTCTCTATTAATGATGAGTAATAAAATGCTCTTGCGTTACGGAGAGCCTTCTTATATCTTTTAAGGCTGTCTTGCCAAACTAGCCTAGATTCTTCTGATTTGGTGGAACGCCATAATCGTTCAAGTTTCCGCACAGTTTGCTTTAGGTTCCGTGTCTGAGGGTTATACCACGGAGCAGACTTCCTTCAGACAGTGTATTAACTGTTAACAACAGTTTACAGCATACAGTGTTTCCCCTCAGTTTAAAACTTTGGGTGAGGGGGGAGCGGGGTGTAATGCTCCGACTAGTTGTAGTTATTTTGCTTTAGTCGCCTCTGAAAGGGGGCGTGGCTTATCTCTGTTACTTGTCTCCATAAAGACAGTTTTGATCATTTCTGCTACCCACCGTGGAAATAAAGAACCACTATTTCTGCTCTTTATTTGTCGTGTGAACCACAAACGGTGTTGTGTTTGGGTCCGGGGCATCATCCGTTGCCGCACACAGTTTGAATTTCACCGACTCTTCCAGGAAGTGTGTCTGGATGACTGCCGCTTCCAGCACTACTTCAGGCTAACAGCAGCGGTCTGATGACCTGTGGTGTCGGAGTCTCTCGGGTAGACACCAACTAACTTACAGGCGTTAAGTCTCAGCTCTGTGTGTGTCTCCAGTGAGCGGCAGTTTCATAAAGTGTATTCACGCACCTGTCTGCATTGGTCCATTGTGGCGGAACTGCCGTGCACAGCGGAAAAACCTAAATAATGGTAGTGAACAGTGAAATATAAATAGAATGTTGATGGCTACCTAGCTACTGTAGCTATATAAACGTTATTGATACCTGCTATCGTTACCTGCTACCAGGACAGAGTCATCAGATTAGTGTAAGCAGTATATATCAATCTACATATTGGCACCAGTTTTTGGTACCCGACCCTAATGCCTACAGCACATATATCAAACTCAAGGCCTGTGCACCAAATCCGGCACGCCATGGATATCTTTGGCCTCCAAGATAATATTTAGCTACTACAGTATGACAGTTTTAACTACTATGACAGCTGGCCTGCCAATATAGCCCTCAAGGAGCCGATTTGGGGGGCACATCTAATCTATACTGTGTGGCCCAGCGTATCCCAGCATGCAGTGCGGGCCGACAAGGATTTAATTCATTCAGGACTGAGGCAGGTGATCTGACAGCAACTGCTCTTGATAACTAACTCCGTCCTGCTGCCCCCCCTCCCCCTCCCATACAGCCCCTGACCCGGACTGCCCTGACCTGAACCCCCCTCCGGGTCCATGTACTGCTTCTTATGAACATAAATGCACATTTATAAAAAATATACAACGAGCAGCTCACGGAAGCCGCTGTTAACGGCAGCTCGTCTGCCCGCATTCGCCCGTAGTCATTAGTGAAAAGTCTATTTAATGACTTAACTTTCATTGTAGAGGCTGACCAGTGTTGGGAGTAACGCGTTACAAAGTAACGCATTACTGTAATTCCAATACTTTTAGCGTTAACGAGCATGTAACAAAGTATTTTTTTAAATAAATTAACGCAGTTACAATTACTGAAATTGAAATGAGTTTGTTACTCGCGTTACTCTCTTTTGTGACGCGAAGCGGAGGGCCGGCAAATAGTAAGTAAATAGCTGCCTGTCAGCACAAAATAGTTGTGGCCACCAAACGTTGTGTGTCACAGAATAGTCGCCGTACGTGCATGTAAAGAGCATCGCGTCGCTCATGACGAAAGACCGCAGGCACTGAGCACTGAGTGCTCGATCCAATATACCACACTGCAGGCGCCGCTCCACGCAAACAACCACGGCTCCACTTTACACGGACTGCAGTGCAGCCGATAAACCGGGCAGAGGTGAATAGATTGATTGCTCGGTATGTTGAAGATGAGATGCATCCTGTCAACTGTCGAGTCAGTTGCCTTCAGGCAAATGCCTGAAACAGTTATTTTGTATTAAGTTAAGTATTAAAAAGGACTTTTGTACTATTGCTTGATTTGAAGGCCTGTTGCCCTGTTGATTACAATAAAATAGGTCTAAAAAATATGTTTATTGTGCTTGACTGTTCAGTACTATTTATATTCATTACATTTAAAAAGCAGACAAAAGTAACTTAAAAGTTACTTTCCAGAGTAACTAATTACTTTTGATACACAGTAACTGGTAAGTAATTCAATTACCTTTAAAAGAAGTAACTAGTAACTGTAACTAAATACTCATTTTCAGTAACTTGCCCAACACTGAGGCTGACTAATATCTTACTGAGCCTGAAACGATTTTATCGATAGTTTATACTTCATAATATGAACAAATGTGAGCCCAGGTCGACACGTTGTGAACCTGAAATATCACTTTATAAGTCAGTAATGTTACAGAATAAATAAAGAAACTGACCTTGCTTTGCTCCTTTTGTTTAGCGGTAAACGTTACATTTAATTGTGTTTTATGGAGCAGGAGGAAGCAGCATCAAGCTGAAGGAGAACGATGATACAGCTACTGTAGCTTGGACATATTCTGTAATATCTTACGGTTACAGTTAAAATAGCTTGTATCCTATGCAACAGAAAAATAAGAAGTCCTTGCATACAAGTTAATAAATGTGCTGTTTTTTATTGACAGTATTGATGGTATCTCCCCTGCCTTGAGATTGCATGATTACTTAACTGATTTAATTTGAATTTAAAACAACTGAAATATGACATGCTCCAGAGGAGAAGCATATGTTACCTAAATTTAATAAAATAAGAAGATTATCTTCTTAACTCTTAACTTTTAAGGCTTTTACTGTCAAGCGCAGCAGGTTGCTAGGCAACGGGAGCAGTGGAGTTAAAGCTGATGATGCAGGCAGGAAGTCCCCCCGTAGACCGTCCCATTTCAGAGACCCCTCGGTTCAGCCTATGCGGTTGTTGGAGGACGAGACCAGGTAGACCAGAAGGCTGGTGAGGGCTGGAGGCTACAAGGATGCAGCCTGGCGACACTTGAGACACAGCTAGTGTGTGTGATTGCATGGCACAGAAAATGACGGTGCACCATCAGCACGCACCTGTTCGGACGGAGCCCCCGCCCTACATCCGACCATGTCTTTTTTACTGGTCTGGCCCACTTGAGATCAAATTGAGTTTCACACCCCTGGCCTACAGCCTCAAAGGTTGTCTTGAAAAATATACCAAGTTTGAACTTTTCACCAGTTACTCTACACAACACAATTCAGCCAATGCTAATAGCACAGAAGAACAATGCAGTTAGCGTCGCCAGTGGACAATGTGGTTTACTGAAACTACATTCTCATGCATGAAAACCAGACGTGCTGCAGTCACCCGATGAGAAGTGAAAAATCCCTTGTCTTGCCATCAGAGTGAGACCTCCTCACTTTCCCTCCTCTCCCGTGACGCTGAAGGAGCCAGTCGCCGCCAGTCCGTCCCATTCTCTACACGCCGCATACAACGGGAGATACATATATCTCACAGAGGGCACAACACACACAGCCGAATACCCCACAGCACCGGAACTGTGGATTTAAGCTGAGGCAAAACGGGCGAGTTGAGGCCGTCGGTGTCGCCTGCAACGGGGAACCGCTCCAGACTGCTGCTCATTGAACAAGGTAACCAAGCCACGATAATACGCATGATAACCAGATCCCGATCACGGTGACCACCAGCTGTTGTGGTCAATACAAGAAGCGCGCCAGGGGTTACAGTCGATGGGCGACTGCGGTCATGTGGACCCCATTTGAAAATGAAATGCACGTCTATTTGAGGCGTTACGGTAAAGGGGCTTGTACAGCACAAAAGCCACTAAACGCTATTTCCATATCTTTGAAGTGTCATATCCCTATCTTTGAACTGTCTTTATAGATCTATAAAGGTTGACCTCCTCTATGCCCCTCTGTATTTGCATGACATATTACGCTACAGTTTATGAGAAAATTTGTCGGCAGAAATGACATGTGTATAGTCAGAAATACATTTTGTCATATCTTATTTTTGGCAGAGGTGGAAAGAAAATGAAAATTTGTACTGAAGTACAAGTACTGTTCCATTGCTTAAATTGTACTCAATTACAAGTAGAAGTACTAGTGTTAAAAAAATACTTAAGTAAAAGTACAAAGTAGTCAGAGTCCATATTACTTTTTAACCGATGGATGTTTTATTGCATCGTCAATAGCAGACATTCGATATATAAAATTTAAATTCAAAGCACATTTCTTAGACGAACAATATAGAAAAATTACAGGCAATTTTACGGTGGCCGACACGTGCAAACGCGTTGTAAAAGGCAAGACAAATCCAACAGTGAAAGAGAAAAATGCGGCAATCAGAACAACAACCGGAGCACAAGCGACGCAAACTTCATAACGCATGCAAGAGAGAAACGCTGCAAGTTCATTCAAAACACAACGGAAGTTCGCCAGGCCGCTAGGGGGTCTCGACCTGTGGGATAGTGGATGGACTATGGGAGATTGACCATAGTAACGATGGAGAAGAGAGTTAATGTTCTTTATGTCTTTTTTAAACACTTGGCCGCAATCATAATCATCATTCTTTCCTTTCATAACTTTCTTCCCCTTCCATTTCTGTCTCAAATTCTCACTTCACTCTTTACACCGCTGTGTATTTTACCTCCAGAAACATCTGCCTGCTGCAGCAGCGAGTTGGCCTTTGCTTATATTACGTCTTAGAATAATTGGCGCGATCTGACAACCAATAACGATTTGCATTGAAAAAAAAAAATCTGACGGTTTGAATATTATTTTAAATTGTGGGCATACTCAATAGCGACTTAGTGTATTTAAGCTATGTGTGTCTGTTGTCACTTGTGGCGTCATTGCTAATTGTTGGTTGTCCGAAGTCGATGTCCATGTCCATGTTGCAGTTTCCTAACCATGTTTTTGCCTTTTTGGAGTTTTGATTTTTGGGAGTTTTGACTATTAAAGTCCTTTTTTGTTTCCCGAAAAACTCTGCGTCTGAGTCCTACCTTCCCTCTCCCCTCGCACGGACCCCGCTCTTGACAATGTGCAATATATATCTGTACTGTGTTTGAGAATAAACATAATTTACAAAAGAAAAAGTATGAATGCAGTTCTGCTACTATTGCTCTGAAATATACTGCTGAGATAGTCCAGGACAAATTACGGGCTGTATACATCCACATGGAAAATACAAAAATAAACTTTTATAGTTTAAACCAAAAGGGTATGTTGTCTAATCTATAATTGAATTCACGCTGGGCGACAATTCATTTGATTTCATCCACTTCACGTGACATTTAATTACTTAAAATTTCACATTACAGCCTGGCTCTACAACAAGCAAAAATAATTCACTGCATTATTGATGAAAACTCTTATTTATGAGCAAGATTTTAAAACTATTGTTACCCCATTTTTGCGCTAAAACATTTCTCCAAACATTTCTCCAAACATTTCTTTGCAAATGTTTCGATCAGAGAAGTTTGTTTTTCTGGTGGTGTACACATGAATCATGTTTGAAATTGACATGTAATACATGCGCTTACCTAATTTGATGCATCTCCTTCAAAAGTACTGTAGACTGCTTCGTCAAAATCACACACGATAACTAAATGTAAGACTCTAAATGTGTGTGCCACATTTGGTTCTGTTTCAAGCATTTGGAGCCCCCCCCCCCCTAAATATTTGCAAAGAAAGATGTTTGGAGAGCATTAAATGGGGTAACAATAGTTTTAAAATCAATGAGTATGCCCACAGATTTTTTTTTTTTTTTCAATGCAAATCGTTATTGGCCGTCAGATCGCGCCAATTATTCTAAGACGTAATATAAGCAAAGGCCAAATCGCTGCTGCAGCAGGCAGATGTTTCTGGAGGTAAAATACACAGCGGTGTAAAGAGTGGACTGAGAATTTGAGAAAGAAGCCAAAATGGAGACAGAAGTGACCATGGAAAATACTGAACAAAAGACTGAGGACGACTGCCTGTGGCCGTACCTGGAGTTACCGATTTCCCATACTTCATCCACTATCCCACCCCAGTTTGTACGGCAGCAGAGTGACATGAACAGGCTGATAGAACTACGACTACCAGCTGCAATACTCTGTAAGTATGTGTGTTTCAATGAAGCACACCGGGAACTATAACCAGTTGTTTTACTTGTGCTGCCCACTCAATACTGGAAACACCGTTCTTTTTTGTAAGCTAGTTAGCGTTAGCGCAGGTAGTTTGCTAGTTAGCATGCTAGCGTTCAGCATGATGACCTGGACTAAAAGTAAACATCCCTGAATATTTTTTGTGTGTTTGGTGTTGCTAATGCGTTAGGTTGTACCCATAACATATTATTGCCTTTCCCATTTCATATTGAAAATACACGTTTTTAAAGCAATGGGGAAGGGCTGAATTCAACAAGTTGTGGTCTGTAAATAGAGGCCCAAATAATGTAAGTTACTGCATGCTTAAAGCACGATACTGTAATATACCTGGAAATGTTACTCCAGAAATAAGTAGCAGATGAATTGTTACCTTGTTTATAATGTTATAAGTAAACAATATTAAGACTTAAAGATGGAGTGAGCTTAAAGCCAAAATCAATCGCTGTAGCTACTTTGATGACTGCAACTGATGACCCGAAGGATCTTTTACACACAAGGGTTCTGAGAGATGAATGAGGCTCTAACACACCCTGCTGCTGTTATTATTATTATTAGTCACTTTATTATTACTGTCATCATGAACCCAAATGACCAACTTTGTCTTTTCCCTGAAGTCTTTTTGCTTGCAGTTTAACGAAATGCAGTTTAACATCCAACCAGAAGTGCAAAGTAGCAAAAAAGTATGTATGAGTACTCAAAAAGAGTGTGCATATGTAAAGTGTATATAAGTGAATAAATAGATATGTACAGTAAGAAATAGTTGTGCAATATGAACAGTAAGAAATGGATATACAATAACAAGTGCAAATGTTCAGTGGCTGGAGGAGGGTGTGTGGCAGTCAAGCCAGGGTGGAGGGGGAAGTACAGTCACTGAGGGAGATGTGTGTGTGTGGAGGTGGGGGGCAGAGTTCAATAGAGTGACAGCCGCAGGGATGAAGCCGCAGGGATGGGGCTGTTCCATCACGTGACAAGTTGCCTCCTGGTTCCATCGGTCTTACCACCACAGCCCCCTGCACTCTCGCGGTCCTCTTGCTGTCATGCCTTACGCCGCCGCCAGTGTCGACATCGCTGTAATCGTCCCTGTTATCCACAACAACCAGCCGGTTATCAAAGACTAGCTCGTACCTCACCCTGTAATCCTGTACCAGAGCTTCAGCGCTTTCCAGCACCGCTGGTCGAACCAGTGCCACACTGCAAGCGTCCAAAAGCGTGGCGCAAATCTCCACCTTTCCGTGTACAACGTGAATGTCAAAACACTACTGGAGTCGGCCAACAGTAACGCACCCGCTACCATTCTTAACACAATGATGCCTGCTGAAAAGACGGTTGTAGATGACATTAATTTATTCATACTAATGTTTTGCAGTCCCGTCAGAGGTTTGAGGGTAAATTCCCACATGATCAACCGGCAAAATAACAGAATTAACGCTTCTGTGAAGTTGTATTGTGGAAAGGGAAGATGAAGGACGGCCGCTGAGAACGCTAAGCCGAATAAACTACTAAGGGTGGCTATATACTCCCAACCCTGGTCAGGCTTTATCCACCCCAATAAATAAATTGTTAACATCCACCCCGCAGGCACAGTAATTCCTCTATATCCCCTCTAAAGGTTTACCCCCACATAAAATCCACACAGAACTGCCGCTCTCAACAAGGCAGATCCTCTTCTGTTAAATACCCACAATACACACACACACACACAAGTTGAGGTTAAAAGTTTGCTTACCAAACAGCGGGATATCTCATTAGTGACGGAAGAAAAAAATCTCCCGCCTTGTCACTCATCCTTTCGCTATTGTCGCCCCCCTGGCCATGCTAAATTATAACGGAAGGGTCAGCAAAGACCATGATTAACTGGAACGTTTAATGAAAGTTCCTTCTATCACCTGGAACAGTATTTCATGAAATTGCACCTAGTAAGTAATCCTAATCTTCATCAGTGGAAAGAGGCTCTCTCGATTTGCATGAGGGTGTACATTAATCTTCGAATCCCCCTTCTGCTAGGCCTCTGATCTCTGCAGATCTAGGTCTAACGGGATATAGACTGGCCCAATCCCACCTTCAACTATGGACCTGGTCACAAAAAGACCCCACTGGGTGCTCGATGGTTGCATAAAAATCGGTCAAACTGACTATTCTGAATCCCAGGGCGCAGTGTACCCTCCCAAGAGACAAAAACAGATGGCAGCTGTTTTCTGACTCATGTGCCATTCTGATCAGGAACCCGGTTCAAGGCCCCGTGCCTGCTGTAATTGGGTTTCCACAGTATCTCCTCTATAAGGGCGAGCCTCCCTCTACCCTTGGATTATAGGCGGCCCCATTTCGGCAGCCTACCGAGGTCGACATTGACACAGTAGGGAGCCACAGACTGGTGTCCCTTTGCCAAAAAAAAAGGGGGGCTCCGCAATTGAGTCCTCCCGAGTGACCAAAAAGCCCCTGCAGGATACGTATCCTTGGCACTGGAGAACCTAGATGTGCCTT